TATCACCACATTTTCTATACAGTTGAAGAGCAGCGCATGTGGTTAGTAAAATTATATCTTAGAAATGTTAGATGAACCACACCAAATATGAAGAGGCTGCTTCAGGAAAAGCAGTGTTTTATGCTTTACATTGTTTACATCTTTTTAATACTATGGGAAAGAACAAACCCCAAAATGCACAGATATTTAGTTAAAAGTGTAAAATTTAAACCAATGTAACCAGCCAAGCTATATGGACCAAATGGGCTCCAATTCTTTCTAATGCTTATATATCTATGCTGCACTGAGCTTGATGGATGGGCAATTTTTACTCATCAACTAGAAAAAATGTTCTGAAAACGGGCAACAAGATTATTAATATATTATTCATAAAATCGACCATGTACTCATGCTTTCGGAGAGAAAAGCTATTTTGACCAAACCCTATGACTCACAGCTTTTTAGTTTGCACCTTTAAACTAATAACAACTTATAAAATAAGGTCATCTGAACATTCTGTTGAGTGTGCATTAAAAATCAACATTGGATACATTTAAAAATGTGTTTAGCGCTCTTATAATATCTCTCATAAGAGACATATTTAAAACAACTCTAGGAAATAAAGGCAGCATGCACTTGTAAATTAAATTTTTCTTTTAGGATTTCAGGTATGCTTGTGACAGTAGTAATTTCTGCTGGGTTTTATCCCCTTCAACTTTGAAATGCACTTCACCATAAGCCTATGAACACATGCTTTGTGTTTAATGTGTCCGCACTACAATGCTCCTTTGTTCACGTTTTATCTTTCAGCTGAAGCATAATGGGCTAGTTAACTCATAAAAGAAGGAAGGTGGTGACCTGGACTAAATTAGATTTCCAGGCATGTGCCATCAGGTAACTCAAAGAGACAGACAAGGGGATGATCTACAATAAATGCTTCAAGCTGCATCAGAGTGCACATAGCTCATTTTGTGTGTGTTTAATTGCAATACAAGCTTTAACTAAGTGCAAGAATCTGCATAAGTTGCCTTTCCTCTGTACTATACTGTATGCAGTCCTGGAATCTTATTCAGCAAAACAGATATTGATGAAAAAACAATGCATGTCAAACAGCAGTGCCACCCAGGAGTTTTCTCATTGATTTCAAAGACATTACAGTTCACACAATATTCCAGAGCAGGCACACTAAACTTATCTTTCCTTTATTGCCATTTGCCTGTTAAGGCATTTCTGTACTAAAGCAGTAACAGTTATGTTTTCAAATGAAATGTCATATTTTGTCTGTATTTTATGTTTTTAAAATTCAAAATCTGGATTAATAGATATTGTTGTATCACAACGTTATGGGAGAAGGAAACAGGTACATTCAAAACCTCAGCCAACTTTAGTCAGATCATAAGCTTAAATGAGCCTGCGGACCAGCTGTCCATGGCTCCTAACTTTAATACTATATATGCAAAAAGAGTCTTAATAAGTTTTGGTTCAACACTGCGATTGGATGAAAGCTTATTAATATTTATATCCATGATGCATCATGAACACTTCAGATGTAAAAAAATAAATGTGCTTTTACTTATACAGTATATCTAACTTTTTAAGGACATTTAGCATGACTAATCTGCGTTTCTCTATGCAACATAACACAAGTATATGTGCCTTGCACGTCGAAGTTGACGATTTAATTTGCATGAATGTATTTAGGTTTTACATAATACATACAGATAGTAAAATGATAATTATTTTAAGAAAATAAAAATGACAGCCCACATCAGAAAAATAATACACAATAAAGCAGAATAGTGGGAAAAAAATAGCTCTGCTTGAAATAAAGAAAGGTTTGAAATGTTTATTTTACATGTATAATTAAAAAGGGGGAAATTCAATAAAAGAGATGGTAATTCTTTAAAATTTCAGAATTTGTTTATTGCACAGAGCTGTGACATGTGATACTCAAATGTGTTTGTCACCCTCTCTAAAATGATTGGAACCTCCTTAGAGAGTGGACAATGACTATGTGGAGGCAGAGGAGCATTCTGTCATACAAACCACTAGGCTTTTGCTGGTGAACAGGGGTCCTGCCTAAATCACACGACAGAATTGTGCTCAGTTTTTAATGTGCACTGTTACAGCAGAACAATAAAAAATGATACTAAGCAAGCACCAGGCAACTGTATAAGAGGCTTAGTGGATGTCAATAAACAAATATTGCAAATACATATTTATAGAGACACAGCTCATTAAAAAAAATATTAACCAGCATACTGCGGGCATCTAGACTGTACAACGTTCATTTTGACCACCAGTCAGCAGATCCTGACTTTAAATCCCGTCTCTAGCACTGAATCTGTGTGTGACCTGGGGGCAAGTAATTGTTATGTGTGTCTCAGCGCACCCGGTTGTAAAATTGAGCACAAAGAAGATCCCAAAGGAAATACAATACACTGTGACATCTGTATTTGGGTTACCCTGAGTAAATAATTTCTTTGTAAAAAAAACATTTATCTGGTTGTAGAGATCTGAAGTATATTGCTGGCCTGTCTTTTCAATATTTTACACAGCTCTATTCCAACCCAACCAATAAGAGATTTTCAAATAAACCATGTTAGTACAGTAAAAATATAATATGAAACGCTCTAACAAAGACTGAGTATAATACAATCGTAGCCAGTTGGATGGCTCTATAAACTCAAGACTGTGCTTTGATCAGTGACTTTTATCAGCACCCAGTATTTTCAAGCAGTGATAAAAAAAGAGAAAAAAGATGCATGTATCTTTTTTGCTATACCAGAAGGCTCTCTATTTTGTACTTGAGATGTATGTATTAGTTAATTATACCGTATGTAGTGTCTGCTGCACAAGATGCACAGTTATCCTAGATGTCTTCCAAACAAGATGTTGCATCCCAATGGAAACAGAGCAGTAAAATACTGTATATTAAACAAATATGATGCCGAGAATCGGGCAGGATGAAGTGTACCAGTCTGCATTTACTCAGCACATTCAGAAGGGTTCTTATACTTTCAGTCCAAATGGATTTTTTTCCCTTCTTGTGGCTTGAGGCCTCCAGTCAAATGAGGATGTGTATAAAATATGACAGACCAGCTCTTTTCTGTGGTGTGATTACTTTGACTTCAAATGGCTTTTCTTATGAGGGACAAATCTGAATTAGCTGGGAATGAGCTGACGCTTGAACTGACAGAATAAATACCAAGAAGAATGGCCACATTTCCATTAATTTGGCACATTTTTTTCTTCAGTTACACAGAGGCTTTCAGTATGTAATCGAATTGTTGCCTTCTCCTCTATTAATACATATGCAAATCAGTTGTTCTTTGCAGCTGTGCTGTATTAATCATATGTGTGCCTCTGTCGGTTCACCCTTTAGGCTTATGTGTTTCCAATGGGTGGTGAAAGTGGGGGTGGGGTTAGAACTGAGAATATACAGGCGCTTAACCTACAAGAAAATTCACTCATGCAGACAGAGGTCTGCTAGCAAACAGCAGGCTGGGGTTAGGATTAACATCACGATAGGCCACTTATTCTAAATGCATGCTGATCAGGATGGAATTTTAAAGATGTTTTATCCAAGCAGAGTGTAGGACCAGATGTTTTTTTTTTTTTCCAGTAGGAATTATCTGATCCTCACCAGTTGAAATCAACCAAGCAACTGGATGACACTTTCTCTGGGAAACTGATGCTGAGAACGCTGGCGGTGAATGTGTGGCAGTCAAATCTACTGCCTCTCCGATAACATCTCGCACATGGGACAAGTTCTTCCTTTTCCTTGTTCTGTTTACAGTTTGAAAAGTGCCAACAAAATCCAGATAAATGATTCACGTCATGTTAGATAACTAGCAAATTCATTCTCATTGGTTTTAGAACTCTGCTAAATACGATCTTACGACCAATAAGATTCTTTTACAGATTCTTTTGATGGAGAAATAGTTCCAGGAATAAGGTAAAGGTATCCTTTTATGGCTCCAAATTTATTTTTTTGTACAGCGTTATTTTCATAGAAGCTATTTGATCCAAACCAGGTTCAGTGTAACAAATTAAAAAAAAAACACACACACTGTAGGAGCACATTTGCCAATCTTTTATCAGTGATGAACAGAAGTAGTAACCATGGCCAAAATACACTCGTCCAGAGGAACTAGTCAAAGGGAAAGCTACTATAGTACTTTTTAGTAAACTTCAGATAGTAAAAATTTGCAAATTAGCGGAACCACTACAAAATTACATTATCATAGTTTATATAGAGTAAAAGATTTCACATTCTGGATTCTGGAAAATATTTTTTTTATTAATGACTTTTAACACCATGTAGAGACAAAAATTGCAGAATTTTTAAAATCTTTTTGATGATCACGTTCACAGCCTAATACACAGCGTCAGGGAAGAAAGACACTCAGTCAACACTATAGGTTGTGCTCAACAGAACATTAAAACCTCAAATTTGCAATTGCCTTGGACCTACAATCTGCCGCCTCCCAGCTTGACCCCTGTTCCAGTTCTTTGCGTTTTAGTTATCATCTCTGAGGTCCCATGTGACGGTCTTGGGAGGACATGACGAGCGCAAGGACTGGAATGCAGTCCACTCATGTGATTCTGAAACCATGAACTACAGTACAGCCCGTGGCTCAAAGCACATGTAGTCAACAGCTGCTTGATGTAAATGGCACACGGCACTCTGGGCTCATTTTAATGTGACTTATCTCCACAGGGAGCCAGGCAAGCACCAATGCAGGCTCTGTCAAGGCAGACCGGGGAGCACCCAGGACATGGCTACTTTTCTTCCCCAAACTTTTTAGACCACTTGGGGTGCAATCTCAAGCCCCAACAGGTAAAAAAAAAATCCTTTCTCGTTTTATGTTCCTAAAAGATCCCTTTTTTGGGAAAACGACATTCTACTGCTGTATGGGAAACGACAAAAAACAACAATAACAGCGGTACTGCAACAATACATCACCATTTCCCCCCTCCTGCTTGCTTTCACACTTTCCAAGTGCTCTGCTTCTTACCTGCAGCTGGAGTGGGCCTAGGCCTGGCGTTGCCGCGGCAGCAGCTGCCATAGTAGTTGGAATCAGCTGAAGAGGGTAAGGGTCACCTGAAACACAGAACAATAGAAGTGTCAGCACCTTTTATCCTCTCTCCACCTGCAAACCAAACTCTCCTATTCACTCCTTCCAAAGCCTTCTTTTGTGTGCCTTCCTGAGGCCTTAATGAAAGCGTCTATTGTGCAGCCCTTTTTACTAATACCCTCTTCACAAAGCTGACTGAAGGTGGATCGTGATAAAAAGGCACAGAGCAATTAAGGTGGAAACTTCATCTTATTTTACGTGCAGCACTGAGAGAAATTGTTACATGCTGATGAATCAGAGTATTATAAAAATTATCACTCCGGAGTTTCAGATAGGTTCCTCTTAATTAAAGCGTTTAAAGGAAATGTCAGAGTCTGCAATATGAGGAGACGTCTCATAAAAGTTTTTGTCTTTTTTTTTTTACAAGTTATCCAGACGTCCTATGTAGAAAGCATGAAAAAAGAGCTTTTATATATAAATTGTGGATGTCAGTTGTATAGAGGTTATTATTTTATGGACAAAAATGTTTGAAAACAAGGTGCACACCCTTAACATATTGTGACATTTGTGAAAAAAGCCATTCTTTTATGTGTGTTAATTCAATGGAATAATTGCACTTTTGGCTTGATGTGCATCTTTGCATTTGTTATGGACTCGGTACGGATGTATGCAGTACTTTACACCCCATTGTGTTAATGTGAGAAGATGAACAGGCTCCAATTCTGCTCTTTAAATGCAAAGTTTGCTATGCATATAGTATTTCAAAAACGGAATCGCATGTTATCAGCTGCCCTGGGTATGTGTTGACTACGCTTTAGATCAGGGGTAGCCATCCCTGGCACATCTTTTCCATTACAAGTCTAATCCTTAATTATCAAAATGATCTTCAGTATCTGAGTTAATTAAGCAGTTAAGGATCAATTCGGTAATCACTTTACTGGAAGGTTCAAAGTCCTGTAATGGCAAGGAATGGAACTGCCAGGGATGACCACCTCTAGACGTTCAGATGGCATTACAATCTGTATGTCTCCATCGCCGGTTTGATCGTTCCTAGCATAAGAACCCACTTAACTTTGCCTTGTGGTCAGGATAAAAGCAGCTCAAATAACTGAAACATAGTCCAGTAAATCGCAAATCTGTATGGGACTTGTTTTTGCAAGGGTATGTTGTACATGTGAATCAGGCACTAGGCAGGACATAACAGATGCTTTGTCTCAGTAAGTAATAAAACAGAAGGTCCTGTCAAGCTACTGTTGAACATGTTTTTCCCATATAACCCTCAACATAGGGCTTCTAGGTTGAAACGGGATTTGGAATATTTTCAAGGGTGCATGCTGGGAAGATTTTTTTGTCCTCAACAAACAAAATAAACAAATGTATTTATGATACTTAATGCCTCTCTTGTGGGTTGTTCTAACAAAAGAAGAAAAAAAGAAGCAGAATAGCTGAATTTGGCAAAAGTATTGAAGGCCGTATAAGGTGGTTTTCATGCAAGTTTAAAGTAAGTGACAGTGTTGTACTGGGACATCGAGTCAGGTAGCTGCAGATGCACAAGAAAACTCCATTAGATTAGAGAGTTAATGGATAAATATAGTGTAAATATAAGTAGATACTGTATAAGTGGCTATAATTAAAGTATTTGTGAAACAATGTAGCTAATATGACAAAAAGTAAGAAAGTTTTTTTCTTCCTCATTTTATATTTAGGATTTTGGTTTTCTTTGGAATTGTGATGGCTAAAATTCTGAAAATGATTTATTTGAAGCAGAAATTCTGAAAACATCCGCCTTTTTTAATTGAAGTTCAACTTTGCTCTAACCCCCACCATCACATTTGTTTCTTATACTGGGCAGGAAGTTGAATCTGATTTGCTAACTTGGCCACCGGTCAGCAAGCAGATGGCTTCTATATGAGGCATTTAGTTATCAATCAATGGATAAAGGCTTGGAGAGAAAAATAATCACAGCACTGTGGAGGACACAGAGGAATCTGAGGTTAGTGAAGTAAAGGGCAATGTAGCGGCTGTTCTCTGTGTTTGCAATAGCTGTCACACTGCATGAGAGGCCAGAATGACTTTCAAAACTTCATTCTCCAGCTTTCGATCTTCCTTCCAGCAAGCTCCAGTGGGTTATGTGTAAGTGAAAGATGTAATCATTTCACTTCACTTTTGCAAGTCAGGGTTATCCCTTCCCAGATGTCATTTAAAAAAAAAAAAACAACCCAAACATTGCATTTTAAAAAATCCCAAACTGAAAAATCTGATAACTCCAAAATGAATAGATAATATATTTAATATAGTTGTTCTCTGATGTGTTACAAAGACTGTATGCTCGCACCTGGATTTCTATGCCCCCTATCAGCTTCAAAAGCAATTTTTGTAAAGAGTCAATAATACTCCAACTCGCCTACCACTTTCCAACAATCAAACGTGGTTATATCATATGCAAAGCAATTAGGAAGACTAAGACAGATTTCTAAAGTCCAAAGGAAATCCAGAATTTATATGAAAATTAACATTTTGTGCATTTCAATACCAAACAAAACCGCCAAATGCTACTGAGGTATGAACCCTTTTTTCTGACATTATTATAAATGAATCTGTCAATAACCAGATGGTTAAAACATGGAATAGGGCAACGTCTACTACAGAAAGTATCGAAGACAGAGTAGAACAGAATCTGATATGTAAACTAGTAATTGAATTTATCTCAGTGTACTTGTTTTGGAAACTGTGAAGTTCTGTGGGTAGAGCTGAGGCTGGGGACTTAGAGCATCTTGGATTTGGCTCTGGCCTCTGTTATACTGTTATACTGTGGAAACCTGGGGCAGGTCATTTTACCCCCCTGTGTCTTAACGTTATTTAGCTAAAACCTGGCAGCAGGCTTGTTCTCACTGTAAACAACACATTGCTTCACAGTTGGACAGTTATGGTCAGGCAACTTCCAAGGAAAGAAAAATCCAAAAGGTTTTTTTTTTAATTATCAAAAATAAATCTAAATAAAACAGAGGATTTATAAAACGGTTGGAAACAATTGCCTTACACGTTGTACAATTGCACAAAAGTGTACCTTTAAACAAAGATGACAATAAGAATTCTAAAAAATGTCCCTCTTCGATCTCAAACATATTAAATGTGCAGTAATTGAAGCTCTGCATTTCAGCCGTTCAAATAACTCTTTAACTTTATGACACCCTTATCTTGAAGCAGATTTTTGAGAAGCTTTTGTTCTTACTTATCACCATGCTGGCCTGTTTAGCCTGCACCAGTTCTGTGCAGTTTGTTTAGATTTAATGCCCTTCACTCTCCGTTTGGGTTATCAGACAAAATCCTTCACCCAGCATGGCAGCTTTGAAGACTCATTCAAAGAGCGTGTTACGACAAACTGCAGTTTTCTGCTGTTCTAAAAGAAAAAGTGCATAGCTCGGGATACATATCTGTGACTTCAGGATCACCTTTTGACTGCTTTTGCCTGTGTCTAATGTGTGATGTCTTTGGTCCCCTTCCTCTGAGGAACACTCCAGAGTGCAGAGACCAATGCCCACCGGCAGGGGCTAGCCTCCGCTGCCGGATCACATGGACCGAGGAAGCCACAGGACCACAGCAAGCACTTTACAGTGATTTCTGCTGTTACGCGAGTTTCCAAAACAGGAATTGGCTCATATACAATTGGGAAATAGGGGAAAGACGTCTATATAACGGGAAACTCACGTTGGCTTATGCTCGATTTCATCCCTGACATGTTTACGTTTTGTACAACTAAACGCGGCGGAGGAATACTCATGATGCTCAGCTGTCCCACGTGCTTCGTTTTATTTGCTCCGTGCTATTTTCACTAAATCTTCTGCATAGCCGTAAATATGAGTGGACAAGATGACAAGAATGTGTCTAAGAAGCGTGCTGGTGATAAACGTTCAGGTGGTGAACTTCACTTTTTTTCAAGGTAAAGCTGTACATTTACTATAGTATTTCTTTATTTATAATGGATTTAAAATGTATTTAAACTGTGCTAACATTTCTATCAGGGTAATTATTAATTAATAAATTTGGCACAGCTTTGGTTAGGCATTTGGTTAGCTATTGAGTGGTCTGCCCCTAACCCTATTTTTCCCATTAGCCCTGTTATTTTTTATTGTGAGATTTTGCATGAGGTTTTACACGAACGCATCTACCGCGTGATTGACGCCTATACTCACTGCATCCGGGTTTGTAGTTGAAGCCTGGAGGCAGCAGGAAGCCTTGCTGGGCAGCTGCTGCTGCCAGAGTCCTCTGGTCTGGAGGAAACACAGGAATCATCAATGGAGGCAGCTGACCCTGAACCTGCTGAAAACGAGAGGAAGGAATAAGCCATCAAAACGTGCCCTCTAGGTGCTTATCCTGCCAATAAAGACCTTTACTACCCAAGCTACTGCAGCACTGAAAAATGCCTTATCTCATTATACCTCTGCGTCTCTCTTTCTACCCATTCTGACATGGACAATACGTTTTCAACACCAGGTATAAACATCTGCGCTTCCACAGTTTGGTCTGTGTCCTGTGTTTAAAGTGCGACGCCGTGGTCCTCCTTGCAGGAAGGAATGTCACCCCTGCCGTACCCAGTAATCTAGTGCTATTCAGAGGCTGAGAACAAAATGAATAAGCCTCCATCTTACAGGCACGTAACAAAGCATTTAAAAAATAATTTCCCTTGAAGCCCTTGAGGTATGCCTGCACCTGAGTGCACAATTGTATCAGCAGCAATGAAAACATTATTGGTATACCATGGAAGAATAGAGGCAATGACTAAACATTCACACACATTGAAATACAACGTTCAGATCAGCCAAAGGCATCATAATGACAACATGCAGTCATTTAACTGTAAGGGACTTGTCCAATTAAATGAATTCAAATTTAATGAGCAGGTCAATGGTACTTTGGCTAAATAGGATTGTCCTCTATATTAATGAGACAAAGACAGAATCACGTGGAATCCTCCAAATTCTCAGGAACAGCTGTGTGGTATTTTTATAGAGTGTTCAAGTCGGCAGGAAGCCATGCAACTTCTGAAGGTTTCCAAGATTTAAAAAAAAGTGACTTTGGCATGATAGGAGATTCAAAAACAGGCACAGAGAACCAAAAGACAGATGGTTCCACAGAGGACTTCTCTGCCAAAAAAAAGTCCAGAAGTGATGTTATTGAAAATGACTGTAAATTTCTAGGATGAATTCAGCATTCCCGTCTGCGTTGCAAGTGCTAAGACTGCCTTGAGGGCTAACAAAGCACAAAAACCCTAACCTGTCAATAATGAAGGAGATTACTGCATATCGCAAGTCCACGCTTGATCCCAGCTGCCTCCTCACCAGGGAGTGTGGCACGCTACTGAAACATCTCACTGAAGAATTTGCTAACAGACCCAAAAGGAAAATGCGCTGTCACACAAAATGACGGGCTGTCTCTGTTTTTTCTATGTCGCTTCCTTCCTTTTTATTTGCGACAACACAGTCTTGTCGCACTTCGCCACATCGGAATCTTAAACAGTTAAAGCAAAAGCAATGCAGGCGTGTGCCCTCTAGCTTGCATGAGAAGGGGAAGGAGTCAGAAAGGAGCACTGCATCTGTGCTGAGAAGCGCAGTAATGGCTGAACAAGTATATTTGTCAGGAAAGACATCAAGTGAAAGGACTACAACTGCTCACAATGTGGTTATGTCTAGTGACAGAGCGAATAAATGTCCTCTGACACTGACTCCAGCAAACCAAGTCTTTTCTTTCTTCAGCATTTGATACTTTCGCAGCACAACTGCTGATATGTATCCTGAAAAGTTTGACAAAGAAGTTACTTATGTGTAAAATAATGTTTGCACTACTTTGATTTGGATTGCCGATTACCTATATGGTAAGATAGGTCAGTTTTATCCTGATTTGTGTACCTACTCCATTGGTCTGTAAAGTTTCCGAACACTTAAATTGCTCTTATATGAGTAACTATGACAGAGAACGGAAATGAAGCATTGGGATATAATTCTAGTACCTTTAAGGGTATAAATTAAAACATAGTACAGTATATTAAATTGAATTCACTTTAAAAAGAATAAAAAGGTATGAATCCGTACTGTAAGCCACTATGTTCATAAAAAATTATATGTTTTGATAAATATAACAGATCCAGGAGACTTATTACAAAACTATTTTTTTCAGGTATTTACTTTTAAACAGTATCGCTTTTATCTACTGGCAATGCATTTCTTAAGACATGTTTGTCATCTATGGTAATTACTCCTCTGTAAAACTTACTGTCTGCTCCTGTGCCCAGTAACCTAAACACTGTAATCACACAATCACTGCACAGGGAATAGTTTGATTCAACATTTTGTTTTCAACCGCAGAATAATTACTAAACAATTTTGGTTAACCATAAATACCACGTTCCCTACAAAGCGATCACAAGGTATGCCTGTTTTATTGTTTCGCTTAAAAAGGCACCCTGCGGTGACTTATCAGAGACAAGTCATTTTTTCGTCTTGCTTTCAGGCTTAATTGGACATATGCTGTACTGTAGGTAGCTGTATCTATTTATTGGTTGACATGTTTGTTGTAACCTCACTGTGTGCACATTCTTTGTACAATAAACAAGTATGCTGCTCAGGAATGGCTGAAAACAAGCTCAAGATACTACTTTTAGTCACAACCTGGATGTTTTGTTGCTTGAAAATCAATACTCTAAAAAATTCTATCCTTTTTCAAAAATTCAATTTTTAATTCAAGAAACATAACACGCAGAACAACATTTAAGCTATACAATTACTGCCTGAGTCATTCTTCAAGACACAACCTTCTGGTGCATAATTACCCACTATCAGGGATTGCAGCTAAGTCCTACACACTGCAAATGGGTATTTGATGAAAATTAGGGGCACCAGACCATAACACTGTCCCCGTTCACTATCTGTGTGTTTGCAGGGTGGGGAAATACCCACCTCCATTGCGGGGTACTCTTTGAGTCGGCGCCAACATGGAATGGTCTTTAGTCGAGGCGTTCAGATTCAGCAAAGGTATAGTAATATAATAAGAAAAAGCCACCAATTAGGGGTGGAGTGCATCGAGTCCCCGGGACCTATTTGCAAGGTGACACTTAAGCAGTTTGTTAAAAAAAAAAGAGTTCCATCCTCACAGCACATAATTCAAACTTGCCCAGCTGGCTTATCCCGAGTCTCTAATTTAGATGTAATACAAAGGGGGTTTATACAATTGCAGCCGTCCACATCCAGCCAAGCCGCCTAAACTAAAATATAATGGGCCAGCTAAGCCTTTAATAGTTTAGTGAGAACCCTGGAACAGCTGCTCACCGCACATGACCTGTGCCATTGCCGACAATGCCTATTACCCACGAAAGGAAGCTTTAGGAGACATTTCCCCTGCCCTTCCATTGGACGGCACTAGTCCAGAAGCTTTTTCCGGAAACGGAGGGATTTTTTTTCCACCCCCCCTCCCTCCCTTCAATCATCCCATCACTGATCATCCTTCACATTTAGCCTTTGCCCCTGAATACTCTGGACAATAGCATTGGGTCCATCTGTGCTCTCCATTAAACCCCACTAATCCCACTAAGAACAGCTGGACACCCGGATTCCACACACTCAAACTATTTTCTGTGGAAGGATTTTTCCCCCCCCTGGTTACAATTACGCTGAGCCTGCCTTCTTGTACCACCTTGTGTGCAAAAGTCTTGACTCGCAGGTCCCCTCAGGATTAACCAGTTAAGGAGAGAATGCCATGACATCATGGTCTAAGACGTGGTATGGATTGCTCAACAGTGAGATTAAAAGGAACCCCAGGAAAGGTATGGACTTATTAGTATGACACTAATGTGCTCCTCATATCCATTGACAATGACTTCTTATAAACCAGCAAAGGGGATTTTTATAAAGGAGTCTGTGATGCCTTTAAAACCAATTGAGAAAAAAATGCTCTTCAAAGCAAAACTCAAATTTCTCAACAGAACTGAGGATTTGGGGCTTTAAGACAGTAGTACCAAATGTTTTCTGGACAGATAAGATTTTGGGGGAATACTTTAGGGAATGTAAACCACAGTTTATATATTCTTAACAAACAGGCTATTAGCAATGACCTATACGATAATAAATTATTATACAATACAAGAGGATAATCCACTGTTAATATGTAATAAATCATTTCTGATCTATTAAGAATTTTATGTTACAGATTATTATGAATTTTAAAAAATAAACTTTCGAACCTCAATCCAAAGTGTTACTGTTTTTTGAACAGTAACTATTCAATAAAGCAAAATCTTAGAACATTTGAGCTCGTCTGAGTTCACATTAATTACGTATGTCTCTGTGATGCAGACACCTGGCAAGTCGGACCTGCGCTGAGATCTGCAGAACTTGTTTCACAGACTTCCTCATTAACAACGAGACTGAAGCCACTTTCAAACACTTCCAGTTTGGATGCAAATCAAACGAGAGACTCGGGGACTCTGTTGTCATTGCCAAATGACTACGACACTCGGTTCTACCTTTAATGGAGGTGATATTACAAAATATCAATCGTTTTTCTTAAAGGTGAGACCAATAAAGTATCTAAATAAAATATTGTAATAGCATATTTTGATAAAAACTAGATGTAAATCAAAAGAGAATTGTAATACAGAGAGTGACGTATATTTTTGTACTAAGAACAAAGCAGCTGAACTCAAATACTTTGGTTTCAGATCTAACTTAAAGAAAACACAGCAAAAATAATCTATTCATCTCACGCACAAACCTGTGTGTAAAGACAGTTTTCATGTGTCTTAAAATCCGTTCCTTAGAAACAAGAAAAAGTAAACTTGAATTGAAGCAAAAACAAGCGGAATTAAACTTTTTTAATGACTTTCATTAGGCAAAAAAATGTTTTAAAAAATAAAAAAGTAAAAACTTGGCAGCCAACTGGCTCTGCACTGAAAGCCAGGCTGCACAGCTTGAACTTAAAGCTTTTTTAACATAATGAAGATGTGCTGATAATTAACATATGTAGTGTGAACAGGTTTGCTGGCACACGCAAGTGAAAAACTCCAAGGTAAAGTTATTATTAGGGAGTAATTAGCTCTGTGAAGTAAATGAGTGAAACAATAGCTGCCAGCATGGACAATATGGCTAACATCTGACTGCGTGGAAAATAACATTGTAAAGTATGGGTCTCAGAGCTAAAATCTGTTAATAACCATATGTTCAAGCAATTAATGCAGAGCCTCCGTGACCTATTGTTGAAGGGGGGACAATACAGTGATATAACTAATAATTAATTTTGAGGTAGTACGCACACAGAGCACTCCTTAACAA